TGGCTTTTCACGATATCTTTTGATTGTCAAAAATTAAATGCAATATTTCTAATATGATAATTTTAGGTATCAAATAAGAGCATATACGTGATGTGATAATTCTAATTTTCTCAAACTTTTCTAGGTACGCAAACTGTAAATTATGTTCATCATGATGGAATGGCCATTCTGTACAGATTATATATGGAGTGCATTTCAACCCCTATCTGGTCAAGTCAATGTAAAAGTACATAGGGCTAGCAGAATAAGGATTAAAATCTGTTTAACAGAAGTGTGGGATAAACAGGACAGCTCACGAGTAACACTACAACTTCAAGTCAAGTGCATTAACGCACATTTGATAAATCTGTTATTGTAGGATCAGTCTTTAAATATTCGGTATACGATTCGATATCAACTACAAATATTATTTTATTTTCCCTGAATATTGGGATTGATTAAATATTTTAAAAATTCTTCATTAAAATGTTATGAATTTAATATTCCTACAACTTATGACGTCGGTAAGCAACACGTATGCGTTGTGAATAACTGATGTCATCGATAAAGAATTAAAACGAACAAACTCCCCACCCCTGGCTATGTAGAAGGTGTGGGAGTATTGAATACAGAGGACGTGAATTTTCGCAATGAAATTTATATTTAATTGTTTCATCACATCGTCAATTTGAAATATAAAGTACAGAAAATGTAATCGCAAGTCAGTGTAAAAAAACACAGAACTAAAAAGACTGTTAAAAAATACAGGAATACTATGAGGGGTGATTTAATATAAATCGAAATGACATGACATTGTATGAATTTTAAAATCATCTCACGGAGATTGTGGTACTGAAGTATTTAAAATATTTTCATTTTTCTTCACTATAAGTTGTATCTCGATTTCCTGGTGGTGCCGTGTTGGTCTGTAGTATCCAACTTTGTTGTCGTACAGCAAGGAAGGCAAAATCATCTCTGTTTACTTTGGGACAATAAGTGGGCGCGTTATTTTTCAGAAGCGTGGAATTCCTACGATTTTTATTGTCGATTACAAATTTTCCTTCGTCTACACACCCAGTTCGCATCTTCTGTAACATACCTCGAAATGTAGCCACGTCCTCATGAAAGCCATCGCCATAAGCCTCAACTTTATTCCAGAATGTTTTATTGAAGTGTTGGTATAGTTTGTAATCTGCCTCATTTATTTCCAATATTCGCTGACGTTTCCGACTATCGATCTGAAAACGTAGATTGTTGTTTCTCTTGTTTTTCTCTAAATACAGAATATCTTCAAAATCCCAAGAGAGTAGATTCTTTAACAAAACAAGCGATTCGTCAAAATACTCAGCAATCATTACCAAATCGAACTCGTTCGACGCTTGTTGTATTACATTATCCACGAGACTTTCATTGTTATAATTTTTCAGTTCAAGTCCAACATCAAACATTTGTCTATTTCTTAGTAATGTTTTGAAGTAAGAATCTTTAACATTTCTAAAATACTCATCGGAATTTGACAGAAAAGTTTCAAATGGATCATCACTAGTATTATTGCGTTCAATCTTAAAATATTTGTCAAATTTAAAATATCCAAATATTGACTCGTAAGTAGCTACTGGATGTCGTAATATTGTTATGTAGGTGGCATTTCGAATCACTCTGTCAATAGCTGTTTTATTAAATGGAACATGGCTGACTAACATATTATACTCGGTGCCCGGAAGCGGTGGTAGCAACTGTTTTGCCATGTCACTGCTGAAACGTACGGTTCTCGAAAACCATCCCGGATTGTGACGTGATGGTAATACGAAAGATAAATTGTGACGTAATCCATGACGTATAAGTATTGACGACACTGTAGTACTGGCTGTTTTGTAAGTCTTTAAGAACACGACATTCGTCAGCGGAGGGTTACGTGATTGTGTTCGTTGGTAACTTGACAGTGTTCTTGTTGCTGTTGTGATGGTTGGTACTACCCTGCGTGAAAATAAAAATATACATGTACGCAGCGTGGTAAAATAACTTCATGGTGGTACCACAGAGGTAAATATGTACAAAATATCATTGTGACGAAAGCAAAAATGATTAATTTACAAACTAAACCAATTCAGTGACAAATTGTGTTTCATTTCCCTGATGCGTTTATAAATGAAGTAAGTAATTGTAATTTGTACAAATGCAATTGATTTAATACACGTTATAGAATTGAAATGTGATTGAACTTATCATAGTGTATCAGAAGGGAAGCTATAATTTACAGAACATCGTGTACATAGTATGTGTACCGAGAGTCTGCAGACATGTGTATTACACAAAATATCAATACTGCATTTGTGTGTTTGATATTTACCGTAAGTTGAGTGGGAATGGTGTCTTGTAGAAATTAAACGACAAGTTCCAAAGTATGCTTTTAATTAGAATTGCTGGATGACTGTGCTCAACCACAGTTGACAGACACAACATAAAATGCATTAATTTTAGTGCTTAGGATATACGCAAGCGTTTCCATAGACAGCACATCCCTCACTAAATGAAATGCCCAAGAGATTAGGTTTAACGTGTAAAAAAAAAATGTGTAATACATCAACAACTATGAACTTGAACATATTTCAAACACGTTTAAAATGTTATTCATACAATCCGCATTTATTCATAATTATAACGTGAATATTTGATTTATATAAATGCAAGTGTCTCAACAGAAGAAGATTTCGATGCCATACAACGCAACACAAAGTTTGCTAGCTCCACGAGACGTAAATCGCTGTTAACAAAATAGAGATCAGATCCTATCGCTGATATATTTAAATTATGAGTAACACATGTTTGCTTAGACAGTATTACAAATCGTGATATCGCCCGAATGACTGTGTTATTTATTTTATCAAATCGAACAAGCACCAACCACACACAACTACGCCTAACATAAATCTCTCACACCCGCTCTCCCACAAAAAACGACATTCATATTTGAAGTATGCAATATTTTATTATTATTTTATTTATTATAATAAGCGACACATTACTCAATAACATGTGTTTTTGTACATAGATTGTTTGCTGGGAAAGGCTGCGAAATACACGGTGAATGTTCAATATCCGTTCTGGCACATTCGCTGCTTTTCGGATGGCTAAGTTTCCCTTAAAATATTGAAATCAACAGCGGCCGGGATAGCGGCAGAGCAGTGAACGACATAGTGCCTCGAACACAAGCGCGCGCGTCTTTCGGGACGTTTACACCTTGTTCGCGCATTGCGTTGACATACTATACATTCGCATAACACACTCATAGAAATGATGTTTCACTAGATGTATTTTATCAGGTTTAAACTTGTTTGAGGTTTTCTAAAGTATGTTGAAATAAATGAGTAAGTGCAAACGTTAATTCTATTGTAAAACGCGAAACAAAAATAGACTCACCGTAGTATTAGGACATAATGGAATTACATATTATGTTGACGGATTGCAAATGAAAAGAAACAAAAATGGTCATCATCTGTATCGCCACATTTCAAAACAGGATGCTGAATAAAACATATTTTTTACTGTAAAAATAACAGTTTATATGAGGAAATATTTCCCATTTCGGATTTTCAGTCGAACGAGATTAGTAAGAATTGTATTTCTACCATTACTGGTATGTTTCGGGGTTTACTATATTGGTCAATCAATATTCCATATATTTCGATGAGTTTTTTGTTCTCAGTGACATGTAAAAATATACAGCATAAGTTCGAATAGAGATCACGAGTTTAATATCAGGATGTTGGAAATTGCATTTGTATAATTTTATTCGGTGAAAATACACAAAGAATTTTTCAGACATGACTCTACTTCTATGGCTGATGTGACCGGTTCATTGCATTTTACATTGCCATTTTGCGCGAAACATCGTGCACTATTTGTATTTTGTACTGTAGAACTCAAAACGTGTCAACACCGTAAGTTAGAAAGTCATGTGATTTACTGTTCAGACGCGCTGTATTCGTGGTACCGAGAATTTGTTATGCGCAGTATCGTTGCGCGGTAGTTTCATTGAGGCAAACCATGTAAAATGCCATGTAACATCAACCATGTAATATACATTTATTCAATGTCAATATTCAATGTTAGTTAGTTTCAACTAATCACAGCATGTGTAACAGTGAGATGTGACAATCTGGGTTAATATCTGGGAGGCTCCACTATCTTGTAATTGATAAGCCACCTAACTTACTGCAAATGTGCGTACTTTGTACTCATTAACATATATAGTCACTGTTGGCTCAAATATGTGACCTGTGTGTAATTCATATAAATACACCGACTTTAGGCACCCTAAGCTACCAAACCGAAATGACCACTCTAAAATCAGTCACGAAATAATATAATAATATAACGTAAAATTTGGTATAAATTATTATATTTGCGGATTTTCTACGTTACAGATATCCATATATTGCGACAGAGATATAAATAGGAAATGTTGTTTTCAAAAAGGCGAGCTGAACACGCATGTCATTGTTGTTATAAGCCATGGGTATAAACGTAACACTGTAATGAAGCGAGGCCTTACCAATAAGACTGGAGTGGCGATGAGCTTCTAATATAATAAGCTATCTGGATTACAGACAAAAGTGTACAGGCACTGAGAACAAGAAACACCGTTGTTCTTGAAATTGCCATGTGTAGTAAGCTAGACAATACACCTCCGTAAAAACGGTTTCGAGGTGAAATAGTCCGGTCGATCTGCACGGTGAAGTTATGTCCGAATAATAATGATGAATGCTATCATTGTAATGATTAACCACAAGGTCACTCGCAAAGTGTCAACATGATTTAACCATCCCTGGAGCTTAATCTAGTTCGTTTCACATTTAGCTTGTCTAAGGCCGACCCAAGTTGTTCGTTTGTTGAACAAAAAAAAAATAGAATTTAGTTCTCTTTCACATAGTTAAAACGTCATTATTTAGACCGGTCTAAAGCGCCCTCTGTTCTTTGGAATGCAGATTTGTTACGTTAGAAATGTCCAACATGGCGGACCACAACGTGTTGTTTATCGCCGTTTTTTAGCTCCGCTGTCGACTTTGTCGAGCGGAGCTTATCTTATGAGTAATTGTCCGTCGTCGTCCATGTCAACTGTTTAAACTTCTTCTCGAAAACTACAAGCATGACTGCTTTGATACTTGGTGTAGACAGGCCCGTAGTTTGGGGGGGG